TGCAGCATCCCCATGATCATGTGATCAAAATTCAGGCACTTGGCAACTGACCTCACATTTATGACCGTTGCAGTGTCCCAGGGTCATCTGATCACCTTTTGCAACCACTTGAACACTGGGCACGATCCAACAAAATGAAATTCAATGGTGAAAAAAGTAAAGTTCTATATTTAGGCAAGAAAAACCAAATGCACAGGTATAGTATAGGTGGCACCTTGCTCAATAGTAGTAACTGTGAGAGGGACCTCGGAGTCCTAGTGGACAATCACTTAAATATGAGCCAGCAGTGTGCTGCAGCTGCCAAAAAAGCCAACACAGTGCTAGGCTGCATTAACAAGGGGATAGAATCAAGATCACGTGAAGTGTTAATACCACTTTACAATGCCTTGGTAAGGCCACACTTGGAATACTGCATCCAGTTTTGGTCACCACGATGTAAAAAAGATGTTGCGACTCTACAAAAGAGTGCAGAGAAGAGTAACAAAGATGATTAGGGGACTGGAGGCTAAAACATATAAGGAACGGTTGCTGGAATTGGGTATGTCTAGTTTAATGAAGAGAAGGACGAGGGGGGACATGAGAGCAGTGTTCCAATATCTCAGGGGCTGCCACAAAGAAGAGGGAGTCAAGCTATTCTCCAAAGCGCCTGAAGGCAGGACAAGAAGCAACGGATGGAAACTAATCAAGGAGAGAAGCAACCTAGAACTAAGGAGAAACTTCCTGACAGTGAGAACAATTAACCAGTGGAACAACCTGCCCCCAGGAGCGGTGAATGCTCCAACACTGGAAGTTTTTAAGAAGAGACTGGACAGCCATTTGTCTGAAATGGTATAGGGTTTCTTGCCTGAGCAGGGGGTTGGACTAGATGACCTCCAAGGTCCCTTCCAACTTTATTATTATTATTATTATTATTATTATTATTATTATTATTATTATTATTATTAAACTGTGGCAAGACAGGCGGTAAAATGGGGCATAATTCACTTTATCTCGCTTAGCAACAGAAATGTTGGGCCTTGTTGTGATCATACGTTGAGGACTGCCTGGAATACAATATTAAAATCCCATCAAACAATCGGGAGAAATAGAAGTAGCAAAAAATGCATCATTTTCAATACGCCTGATATCTCTCTTGAATTGTTATGATTTATATTCAGGGAAGATCTGCTCAACAATGTTCTCAAGAATGAACAAATGAATGAATGAATGCAGCACGTCAGCAATTTTGGGTTGAGATTTGACTTTTGGCATTGCACTTGATCTGAAAGCCTGCAAGTTTATATTTCAAAACGTCGAATGTTTTTGGACAAGACCAAGATGGTTTAAATAGCAAAGTCATTTAAAGATAATAGTTTCCCACCCTGTAAAATTCTCCTTCTCTGGGTTAATCTATTATAAACAGAGACTTTCATTTGCAAGCCAGAAAAAGGAGAGCCCCTCAGATCCTCCAGTGCCTGACACCTGTCAGTCGCCTATTGTGTTTTATTCATTTATTTTTTATGAAAGGAAGCCCACCTAGAACTCAAATCACTTTGATTATTCTATCTTGTCTCCTTGACAAATTTGATTTTCGTCTCAAATGCCTCCCCTTTCCCTTAGCAAATCTATAGATCAGTGTTTCTCAACATTGGCCATTTTAAGACGTGTGAACTTCAATTCCCAGAATTCCTGAGCTAGCATGCTGGCTGGGGAATTCTGGGAGTTGAAGTCCACACACAGTTTAAAGTTGCCAACACTGAGAAGCACTTCCAGAGAGGCTAGAACAGTGATGGCGAACCTTTTAGAGACCCAGTGCCCAAAACCCGGGCCTGCCCCGCCACCCACTCTGCCGCCCGCCCACCCCGCTCCATCCCCGCGCCCCGCCCACCCACAGGGCCACCCACTGCCTCTACGGCCTGCCGCAGATCACCCAGGTGGCCCAGCAGCGCCATGGCAGCCCCCCCTCCGCCTGCACCCTGCAGCATCAACTGCGCGCAACGGGGTGTGACGGTGGAGTCTTGTCCCCGCTGCCCAGCTGCCATATCCTTGGCCGTGCTGCTCTGCACGGGCCGCGCTTGGGGGGCGACTCTCCTCCAGGGGGGCTGCTGGTGAGGGCTCTGAGTGCCGCCTCTGGCACGCATGCCATAGGTTCACCACTGTGCTAGAAAATGAATGCTGCAATCCCTGTTGGCTGTCTTCTCATGAAATCCTGAACCAGCCCATTTCTCTAGCTGTGCCTTGCAAATCCAACTGGTGTAGCTGGTTTATGGTTCCACCATTCAGGCCCCGTAGTACCTGTTTCCTCCAACTGCTCATGACAACCCACTAATTAGGGCAGGATCCAATCTATTGTTGTATTACAGTGCTATACTTACATTGACTGAGACAGAATTGCTCTAACTTCTGAAGTGAGTCAAAGAGTGTGTTTTAAAATAGCCGAGAAACATGCCGTGACACACACACACACACACAGAATTAGTAATTTGGAGAAGGAAAAAGACCTAAAAAAAGATAACTGAACCTAAAATGTAAACACTTCTTTCACATGAGATCTCTTATTCCCTGAAAGAGTGGGATCGTGGTTAAAAGGAGAATGGATCATAGGAATACGAAATAGCTTTTTTAAGTGGCTGGGCCATCTGACCATGTCCTGTTATTATCTCTACAGAGGCTTAGACTGGATCAGGTTCTCATTATGCTGCCAAGACAGCTGTTGTTTTCTGTAATCTGGGGGTGAATATAACCTCTAGGTCCCACACGTTTCCTAAGGGTTGTCTGGAAGTCCTAGCTTCAGGCTTCTTGTGGTTCACAAACTTGGGAAATGGGGTTTGCACAAATCCCTTCCAAATCCTTTTTTCTTTTTTCTTTTTTTTGGTTACCATTCACGCCTGGAGTCTAGAGACACACACAGCCCAGCAGATAGCTTGCACCCACAATCATGGCATGGGAGAATTCTCATGCTGACCTTGTTGTCATTCCAGGCAGACCTGGAAGCCTGTTTATTTTCCCAGGACTGCAACAGAGGTGGGGTGTTGCATCCACTCCCAGCGATGGATTTGTTGAATTACAATAATGTGCCTTTCCGCCAGCTGAATCATCACCCAAGCAATGTCTGATAACAGACAAATGTGCAGGAAATGGCTTGGTTTGCAAAGAAAGGCTACTTGAGCAAGGTCAAAGGTATCCTGGCTTTTACAAAATAACTTTGACTTCCCCAGTTACTTCTTTCCAGGTTCTCTGCTGCAAAGAATGGAATAGAATGGAAGAATAGAATAGAATAGGATAGGGTAGGATAGGATAGGATAGGATAGGAATGGAATGGAATAGAATAGAATAGAATAGAATAGAATAGAATAGAATAGAATAGAATAGGAATAGGAATAGGAATAGGAATAGGAATAGGAATAGGAATAGAATAGAATAGAATAGAATAGATCAGATCTGGAAGGGACCTTGGAGGTCTTCTAGTCCAGTCATTATACCATCTCAGACAAGTGATTGTCCAGTCTGCTCTTAAAAATCTCCAGTGATGGAACGCCCACGATTTCTGGAGGCAAGCTGTTCCACTGGTTAATTGTCCTCACTGTCAGGAAGTTTCTCCTTAATTCCAGGTTGCTTCTCTCTTTGGTCAGTTTCCAACCATTGTTTCTCGTCTTGCCCTCTGGTGCTTTGGAGAATAACGTGACCCCCCTCTTCTTTGTGGCAGCCCCTCAAATACTGGAACACTGTTATCACGTCTCCCCTGTTTCTTCTTTTTTTTTAGACTAGCCAAGCCCAAGTCCCGCAGCCGTTCTTCATATGTTTTAGTCTCCAGGCCTTTGATCGTTTTAGTTGCTCTTCTCCGAATTTTTTTTCCCAAACTCTCAACGTCGTTTTTTGTGATATGGTGACCAAAATTGGCTGCAGTCTTCCAGGCGTGGTCTTACTAGGGTTTCATAAAACGGTACTAATACTTCACGTGATCTTGATTCTATGCCTCTATTTATACAACCCAGGATTGTATTAGCTTTTTTGGTTGCTGCTGCACACTGCTGGCTCGTAGTTAAGCGATTGTCTGCTAGGACTCCAAGGTCCCTCTCACAGTTAGCCTCTGGTTCCTGCAGGAAAACGAGCTGCAAAAACAATTGGTTCCTACTCAATTAAGGTGGAATAATGAACAATTACTAAAATAATGATTTGTCTGCATAATTACTAGAATAATGATGTGTCAGGAATAATGCATAATCACTGGGAAAATTCTGTGTCAGTAATATGT